TAGTGTATGCGTATCTGTCAGTGAATGTGTGTATATTTAGAAGGCGGGGGGGGAAGGGTTGGGAGGGTGGCTGGCACCTGAGTTTTGTCCTGCCTAGGGCAGCACAAAACCAGGATATACCACTGTGTATACAGCCTATGGCTGCTCACTGTTAAAAAAACCTATTGCCCCCCCCGGCGGATGGGCGGATGGGGGTCCTAAAGTAAAATAATGGGGGGGACGTATTGTCCTCCCCTCTGGCCCCCACCCCTGAGCGGTGGGTGGGCGCCCTAAATACTAATTGGGGGGGACCTAATGTCCTCCACCATGGCCCCCATCCCTGAGCGGTGGGTGGGGGCCCTAAATTAGAATGAGGGGGGACCTAATGTCCCCCCCTGGCACCCACCCCTGAGTGGTGGGTGGGGGCCCTAAAATACTAATTGGGGGGGGAACTAATGTCCTCCCCCCTGGCCCCCACCCCTGAGCGGCAGGGTGGGGGCCTTAAATAAAAAAATAACACCCCCTCCCCCTGGTGACTAGGGGTCCCCAAACCCCTAGTCACCCCCCTCCCCCAAAAAATTATCCCCTACCTACCCCCTCACCCTAAAAATAATGAGGGGGGACCATTTAACTAAGTACCTGAAAAAAAATAAAATAAAACTTACCATTTGATGTTTTCTTTCTTCTAAAATCTTCTTTTTTCAGCCCCAAAAAAGGCCAAATAAAAAGCCATAATAACCGACGCACTTAAAAAATAATAATAAAAAAAACGCAAAAAAAAAATAACCATCTTCACCTGGCGAGGAGTCCGCGCAGACTGCGCACTGCAGGGTGGGGGAAGGCTTATAAAGCCTTGCCAAGCCCTGCAATTAGGCTCAGAGCACTCTGATTGATGGGTTTAAGCCATCCAATCAGAGTTCTCTGACAGGTAAATGAAGAGTCTGACAGGTAAGTCTCTACATTTACCTATTACAGCACTCTGATTGGTTGGTTTAAAATCCACCAATCAGAGTGCTCTGTGTCATTTTACCCAGCGTGGGAAAGTTCTTTGGAATTTTCCCATGCTGTGTAATTTTACTCATAACTCTCTGGTGGATTAAGTAATGTATTTAGGGCCCCTACCCACTGCTTAGGGGTGGGGGCCAGAAGGGAGGACATTAGCCCCCCCCAATTAGTATTTTAGGGTCCCCACCCACCGCTCAGGGGTGGGTGCCAGGGGGGAGGACATTAGGTCCCCCCCAAATAGTATTTAGGGCCCCCACCCACCACTCAGGGGTGGGGGCCAGAGGGGAGGACATTAGGTTCCCCCCCTCATTCTAATTTAGGGCCCCCACCCACCGCTCAGGGTTGGGGGTCAGGGGGGAGGATATTAGGTCCCCCCCTTATTCTGATTTAGGGCCCGCAATACTGTGGTTTGGAACTTGGCAATTCGGCACTTAGGAACTTCAGCAAGTTCAGAACTTTGGTACTTCAGCACTTCGGAACTTTGCACTTCGGCACTTCGACACTTTGGAAATTCGGTAATTTCGGAACTTCGGGACCTCGGTAATTCGGCACTTCGGCAATTTGGCTATTCGGACATTCGAATAGGGGTGAGGGCAAGGGGGGAGAACATTAGGTCCCCCCCTTATTCTGATTTAGGGCCCGCACCCGCTGCTCAGGGGTGGAGGCCGGGGGGAGAACAATAGGTCCCCCCCATTACTTTACTTTAGGGCCCCCATCCGCCGTTCAGGGGTGGGGGCCGGGGGGGGGGCAATAGGTACCCCCTTCAGGTTAGGAGGGGGGCACGTTTTTTTATTTTTGTTTTATGTTTTTTTACAGTGAGCAGCCACTGGCTGCTCACTGTTTAATAGACATAACCCTACTCGCGCTATAGCGAGTAGGGGCACAATTTGCTAATACTAAGTAATCTTTACTTAGTATTAGTAAATTTGGCTGAAAGACCAAATTAGGTCTTTCAGCCTTTTAGTAGATAACTCCCTAATAATGTGGGAATTAGGGAGTTATCTACTTATTCATTCCTGTCATTAAAATGACTGGCCAAGTAACTTACATGTTATATGAATGTATGTTACTTGATTGTTGTAAGTGTTGCAAACGCTTACAGCTGAAACCTTGCTATGTTTGTATACTTTTTATTTAAAATAGTATACAGTGTAACATTCTTCTTCTTCCACTGGGTAAGTATATTAGTACTTAGGCAATACTGTGCTTTGGAACTTGGCATTTTGGCACTTCGGAACTTCGGCAACTTCAGAACTTCGGCACTTCAGCACTTCTGAACTTTGGCACTTCGACACTTTGGAAATTCGGTAATTTCTGAACTTCGGGACCTCGGTAATTCGGCACTTTGGCAATTCGGCACTTTGGCTATTCAGACATTCGGAAGTACGCGAATGTCCGAATTGCCCGAAATTCATCAGAATTCATTTTCGAATGAATTGCACGTGTCTAGTTTTATCTACCTCTGATACTTCTCATCATATGTATTGGTCATAATGTAATAGTTGTCTTCATAATACTATCCTTTTGTAATTTTACTTTATGTGTTACACATTTCTAAGTAAAAAATAGAGATAGAGGAGTGCAAATACAAATGTATATGGTATACTTAGAGACACTGGTCAGTCCTTCAGATGTAACCTATATACAAAAAGATCCAAACATAGCATAATACTGTTTTTCCAAATAATATAGTAAATAAATGTGGATTTTTCACTCACACTTTGCAGAGCCATGTATAGTAGGCTCTGACTATAGTTGCTCTTTGATAATTCCCTGGTGTGTTGAACTCCACCACGCCTTCAGAATTCTCCACTTGGATCAGGATACAGGAGATATAAAAATTCCAAAACAGAGTGGGGATACTTTTTCAAAATTTAATAATATACAGGGACATATATAAAGTGCATAAAACAAAATAGCAGCACTAAATGTACAAAGACATCTATAAAGTGCATAAAAAAATAACACTAACGTGTTTCGACTGAAATAAAGTCTTTTTCAAAGTGCATAAAGTAATGGTCGCCATGTTGGGTATTTATATCCTCACTGGTGTTCTAATTTGGCGCCCAAACATCTCCGTCGTGGTGTCCTTCTACTACTTCCTGATTCCGGCGGGCGGCTTCCACGTTCCCGCCCTTTTTCACGTCACGTTGCGTCTGACGTCAGACGTTTTTCGCCGGACCGGAAGTGCCTCATATTAAGTTTATGAAGTTGTTGCAGCCATATTTGAACGTTCTTTAATCATATAGTCTAAATAAGGATGTTCTGGCAATAGTCTTTCTTCAAATTTATGTGTCTCTTATCCTAAAACTTATTTCATTATAATCATTATAACAGTACATAAGATAGAAAACTTTATTTCCTGTAAAACTAAAAATGTTGTGTATGTGTTAGAATGCCCTTGTGGCCTGCAATATGTGGGCAAGACGTCCAGGTGTGTGGCCACGAGGGTGCGGGAACACATTAAAAAAGGATTCAAAACACATAGTGTTTCTTTACATTTTTTAGAACATCATAATCAAGATCCAAGTGGAATCAAGTTTTATGGAATTCAAGCTGTGACTAAACATTGGAGAGGGGGTGACATTAATTCTAACCTAAGTAAATGTGAAATGGGCTGGATTTTTAATTTAGATACACTATCACCCAAAGGTCTCAATATGGATTTTGAGATGAGTGTACTTATTTAATTATTTTAATTATTTTTAAGGTTATTAATATATATATTTTTTAATAATATATACTTTTTAACTATATTGTCTTTACATCTTTTTGATTAATAATATCTCTCTCCCTTTAAATTTCTCTCTTTCTCCGTTTTTTATCTCCTCTTGTATTTTATATAATATGTTATTAATTAGATTTTGATATATGTAATAATGTTTTGGATATACAAATGTACTGTTATAATGATTATAATGAAATAAGTTTTAGGATAAGAGACACATAAATTTGAAGAAAGACTATTGCCAGAACATCCTTATTTAGACTATATGATTAAAGAACGTTCAAATATGGCTGCAACAACTTCATAAACTTAATATGAGGCACTTCCGGTCCGGCGAAAAACGTCTGACGTCAGATGCAACGTGACGTGAAAAAGGGCGGGAACGTGGAAGCCGCCCGCCGGAATCAGGAAGTAGTAGAAGGACACCACGACGGAGATGTTTGGGCGCCAAATTAGAACACCAGTGAGGATATAAATACCCAACATGGCGACCATTACTTTATGCACTTTGAAAAAGACTTTATTTTAGTCGAAACACGTTAGTGTTATTTTTTTATGCACTTTATAGATGTCTTTGTACATTTAGTGCTGCTATTTTGTTTTATGCACTTTATATATGTCCCTGTATGTTATTAAATTTTGAAAAAGTATCCCCACTCTGTTTTGGAATTTTTATATCTCCTGTATCCTGATCCAAGTGGAGAATTCTGAAGGCGTGGTGGAGTTCAACACACCAGGGAATTATCAAAGAGCAACTATAGTCAGAGCCTACTATACGTGGCTCTGCAAAGTGTGAGTGAAAAATCCACATTTATTTACTATATTATTTGGAAAAACAGTATTATGCTATGTTTGGATCTTTTTGTATATAGGTTACATCTGAAGGACTGACCAGTGTCTCTAAGTATACCATATACATTTGTATTTGCACTCCTCTATCTCTATTTTTTACTTGTATGTTATCTGTGTTTTTTAAGTGGTTTTAAAACACTGTGGAGTTGCACTGTTACTTCTGCTACCACCCCCACACTTTGTGTGTTTTGCACGCTATTGTGTAAAATTTGTTTTATACACATTTCTAAGTACTCTCTTTTGGTATTAATACACTCATAACTGTTAAATAACTTATCATTGTCTGTTTTCTTTTCCATTTATAGTTAGGAATTGATATTCATGTTAGTGTTAATCTTTTATTTCTTTTTAAGTCTGTTAATCTTCTGTATCAAATTAACTCTGTAGAATCTTCCATCACAGTTTGCAGGTCAGATGAAAAGTCTCTTTCCAACAGCCAATGTCCAGTTGTCTAAAGGAATGTTTTCCTAATTTATTGTCACAAGGATCTCTCACGCTTTACCAGATCCGTTATTTCTGTCTATTTTGTTGCTTCACCCACACAGCTGCGCACTTCTGGACTTGGATCTGGAAACTTGCCAATCTCTGCCACGTGCTTGCTTCTAGAATTCACTTTGTAGCTTGTGCTTTTTCTCAGTTGCAGAAAATAATCTTGTACAGTCTATTTGTTTTGAAAACCTTCTTTTTCTTACAAACACATAGTTCTTCACGCAGTTCTTTTTCTGTGCAAATATTCTTAGTCTCTGTGACATAGTCTACATTCTTTTTTTCTTTTCAAGTTTGATTTCCCAGTTCCAAAACTCAGCTTTGTAACTCGATTCTTCTCTCTCTCCCCCTGGAAGTGGGAACAAAACTTGAATAGAAGACTGGCTGGCTGGCCAATGTAATCATTTTCTGCTTCTCCTGTCTTTTTCCAGTTATATATATATATATATATATTCTTGGGTAAAAGGCTTGCCATGTTAATATACGTCTATATTAAACAAAAATACTAGTATGCAATATGACTTACGGTTTCTTCAGGTTTATTCTTAGAGTTACGGATACATAATAAAACAACAAAGGATGTTACATGATCATGCATGTTCAACAGCAGATGGTAATTGCTTGACTCCTGAAGGGAGAGTTACATCATTACATAGCTGTACAGGAAGAAGAGCCGAGAGATAGAGACAGAGAGTCTTTGCTTAGTTACTATATAGATGTGCCCATACTGACGTCAGACTATAACTCTAGCCATATAAGGACAAGACCCCCAATCCACATTCCAGAGCTCTCAGACAAAGAAAGCCTTGTGACTTATTGATACTATCTGTTACTTATGTCAATTCAGACATCCATACATAATCAAAAGAAACATAGAATTTGCAATATTCTACAGCACTCACATATAAATGTGCCTCCCCAAAATATAGGGGGGCTAATACAGATAGCATACCTAAACATTTGTGTTCTGCCTCTAGGAGGGCTCTCCTTAATTCTGCTTCAGAATAGGGACTCAAGCAGTCGGAATGTATGTATAAAACAAACCAGCCTTTAAATATCCTTGAGAAAAATGGAATAACCCACTCATCCAATGTATGCATGGCTGTACAGGCCTAACAATTCAAACTAAGTAGGGCATTCTTAGCATAGGGTATTTGGGCACTAGATTGTGATTCTTAATCAGATATGAATGTTGTGACCTCCGCACAGTCTGCTTCCTAGCCGCTTGTGGGGACCCAGGAATGCTTCAGCCCCAGTCGCCGAAGCATGACTGGGGTCTCTCTAAAGCTCTTTCCTTCCAGGCAGGTAATGTCCCCTCTGTCTATTCTTCTGCAGCTTTCCCCTCTTTAGTCCTTCTTCTAGGCAGGTATGCACCTCTGCCTGCAATGTGATAGCTCTTGTCTTTATAAAAGCACTTGTAGCTCTCAGGCCTATCTCTCTTTTTGCATCTGGGCTATAGGGATTGTGCAGCCAGCCAACAGGTCCAAAGACTCTGTTACTGGGATCCCTAAAAATCCACACAAGTCACACAGTTCCAGAAGGAACTAACATAAACATCTTTATTTTTCCTAGGGACTAGCCCATAGGCTCATTACATGTAACTTATGGTGACAACTGAATAAAAATATAAACAATCAAATCCCATCAGACAACATACAGGAACTTATAATAACATAAAGACATACTTATAAAGGGGTGGGGAAGACCATAATTGTGACAAAAGCACTTTCGTCACTGGGATTTGGAGTGGCCTGCTTGCCAGCCTCTTGCCATGTGATTATGGCCCCTGGGATGTATTGCCCTTTAAAAGCTTTATTTGGGCATATTGGATTTTAAAACACTTTTTCTGCCCCTTTAAATCCATGGGAAAATGTGCCTCTTCCCCTCCCCCTTTTTCCTGTCCTATTGTTCTCCAGCAGGGTGTTGTCCCAGGGACACTGCCAGACCAGTTTAAATTGGCTGCTTTGTCCCTCCTGAATCTCTCATCAGCCCTTGCTATTTTCTGAACCCTTCCTTGTACTATAGGGCACTTTTAACATTGGATATATTGAGCGCCCAGATCCAAGCTATCTGGGGATATGTTGGACGTATAGGTTAAACATTGTGTTATGTATTTTTATGTGGTTTTTGTAACAGTTTTTGGCTTAGAGATATTTCCTGTTACTGGAGATAATTAAGTTACCAAAGCCACTTAAGCCAATTATCTCTAGGATAGAGGAGAAGATAGACCGGCCGCACAGCATAAATCTGTGGAACTGTTTTGGGCATGAAAGCCATGCTTGCGTTCAGTCATATGTGACTTCCATAAAATTTTTGAACCTCTGCTCTGATCTGGGTGATATTTGGATATGTTGTTCACCCATATTAGGGCTATCCAGGGATGTATTGGGATATGTTGTTGTTTTGGGGTTTTTCTGGGCTTTGGGTAAAACTGGATATTTTATGTCTGTAGTAATTGAGTTAGTCCATTGCAAAAGCCCTGTGTGGCGAAATGCGTTTTTGGCTATTTTTACTATTTTATCTGATATTAATAAAGGATTATTGGCTAGTATCCACTCTCTTTTTTTCTTTGCCATATACCTTTTTATTCTAGCTTTTTCATATCTTATTTATTTATTTTATTTTACTCCTGGACCTGGTTTTCTATTTTTATACAAGCATTTTTATTGCTCAAGAATCCTAGGTGGGAATGATACCACCTATGCCATCAAAGTGAGCAGTCATTCCTGCTCACTTAAATGTGAGTATTTTACACATATATACGTTTATCTCACGTTATATATAGTATACAGAGAGCACTATTGTGTACCACATTTTTTTCTCTCGAGGATTTTCTTCACGTGCATACACCTATATCCCAACAGCGGGGGACCAATACCGCTGACTGCGAAGTATACCTGAGCTAGTTCGAGCTCCACAATAGGTGAGTGAGATATTCTTTCGTTTTATATCTCCGTAAAGAAACTCCAACCACAGTTTACACTATTGGAATTCTCCTCTGTTCTATTCACAAATCGCCACTCGGAACAAGAATTTGATGGCCACTTCTTTGTTTGGACTATTCCTCTTTTTTATCACTTTTTAAGTGGACATGAATACTGCCTGTTTATTTTAGAATTCGCTTATATATACTGCTTTGTTATATATGTAAGTACTCATTGTATTGCTTCTATTTTGTTTTTTATCAAGAGACTTTGTTTCATTTTATGCTTGTGACACTTGTTCTACTTTTACTTATTTTATTCTGTAGCGCGACCTAAAAAACTCTTATTTCTTATACTTTTTCCTATCTTTGACGCATTGTGAGGGAACATCTCTATTTTAGGTTGCAGCTAAATATTTTGCAATATTCCATTGACACACGAAGCACTGAATCCACTATCTCCTGTACACAAAATATCTTGCCTGCCTGCAGAATTTGCTATATGCAAATCTACCTTAATATGCAAATTAACAAACCTTGCTATTCAGGTAGTGCATATAGCTGTTGCTGTTGTAGGGCGCTATACATGCTCCATAGCCAAATCCGCCTAGTTGGTAACAAGCATCAATAGGACAGGAGAGCACACAAAACAATTAACAATAAACAAACACATTACAGACCCTGCACCTATAATGGGCAAGGGTGACTTAGACATAGGAGTAGTCCAGGGTCCTATATAAAGTGTCTGTATGGAACTCCAGGTGATTGTGACTACTGTCACAAAAGTGGTCCTTAAGGGGTTAAACCCTTCCTCTTCCTCATTCACAGTATGAGGGAATAGAAGATGCCCCTGCAGGGGAACTTAAATTCCCCACTCAGACACTCACTAACTAGACAAAAGACTGAGCAAATGTTTTGCTTTATTCTGACACTATTAATATAAAACACAAAATACATGTGTTAAACTTAAAAAAAGCTAAATAACAAATGTCAACTCAAAATTATATAAAGTATAATTAAAATAGAAAAATAGAAAAACAAATGCCTACCTTAAGTATGTCAGGATCCTTCAACCATATGCTTGCACCTTGGGTCAGACAGTGTTTGAAAACCAACAGTTATCCCTACTTCACTCCTTACCCAGAAAAAGGGAAGACTGTAGAAAATAATAGTTGGCTTTTAAACACTGTCTGACCCAAGGTGCATGTACAGGGTGGACTAAAATTCAAAGAAGGGTTTAACTTTTTTATTAATGAACCAATTTCAATTATATTACATACAATGAATGGTTAATGTATGGAGATTTGTTTGACTAGGTATGGATGATGGCATGCTTTAACCCCTTAAGGACACATGACGTGTGTGACATGTCATGATTCCCTTTTATTCCAGAAGTTTGGTCCTTAAGGGGTTAAATGTGCTCCGTTTGCCGCTTCACAAAGTTTTGATTGCATTGTTCATAATATTAGTGAATGTTTCAGGCTCTAGCACTCAAATTTTTGCACAGATATTTTTGACTTGAGCTTCTCAAGTGTGCATGGTTTGTTCAGTTATCCCCACAAGATCGCCTGGACATAGTGGCCAATTAATCTGGGAATTTCTTGAATTTATCCCCAAACAGTTCTCTCAGAAGGTCCACTGTGGCACTGGCTATATGGGCAGCAGCCCCTTCCTATTGAAAGCACATTTCAGGGCGATTTTCTTTGCATCAAAATAATGCAACTGCCATTTTGAAAATAAAATTCCACTATTTCTACTTGTTGTTCCTTCATGAAATTATCCATGATGAAGCTATCCAAGGCTCAGTTATAAGTATCTGCAACAACAAAAAAATTTAACTACTAACAAATAAATTAACCTGTCAAACCATGCTCTGAATTCGGTACACCCTGTATATGGCTGAATGATCCTGTCAAAAATTTAGTATTTACTTCATTTTATTTATTTATTTTTTCATTATTTATTTAAATTTGAAGAGCGGGTATATCAAATAAGATTGACAGTAGGTAATAATACAAAACAATTTAACAATATATTATACATGTCATAATACATAAAAAAGACTGAAGTGGATTACATCAATATGCATCTAAAATAAGTCATCACCTGGTACAGCACTTTTGCATTTCTTCAGTACTGTGAAAAGCTTCTTTAGCACCTGGATAAATCTTTAGGTTACATAGCAATCTAAATTCTGATAGAGAAATTACATGTGGCACGTGAGTTGTTATTTCACATAAGGTATGTATTTGCCATCAAGTGTCAAAAACAGTAACATATAGATATAGTGTAACCTACTCTCCAATAATTTTGGCTCCTCTTTGCAGGAGAAGAATAAAAGTATGAAGTAGAGAAGAGAATAAAAGAAACAAGAGAAGATAAAAGAAGGAAAAATAGGGTCGCTGCAA